GAAGATAAGTTGATGGATATAGATACATTTTGAGTTCAAATCAACAAAGGTGATGGAAAAAAGTTAGACTCAAAGATGATACCCAGCTTTCTGGCTTCAATAAAAAGTTTGATATGGTATCAATTTCTGAAATAAGGGATACTGAGAGAAGGATCAGGTTTGGGGAGGGGCTTGACAATTCAGAGTTGTATTGTGAACATATTGAATGTCTGTTAGACATCCAAGTGGAGATGTGGAATAGTAATTTGGATTAATGAACCTGGAATTTAGGGCCAGCTTTTAGATAATATTTAAAGTCATGTATCTGGATGAGATAACCTAGGGAGATTAAAAAGAGAAGAGGGCCTGGGATCATATGAATATTTTACCTTTAATGTGGAGGCTATGGGATACTAAAAGGAGAATGGGCTAATAATAAAGGTAAAGATGTAGTTCAGTGGTAGAGTGCCTGCTGTATATGCAGAAGTTCTAGCTTTTATCTCTGGCATCTCTATTTCTCTTTGCCTCCTCAGAGGACAGGGCAGAGTTATAAATTCTTCAAGTCTTTTGTCAGTGCCATATATATATGTATGTATGTATGCATATGATCTTCTAGTTCCTGGCACAAAGCAGGTGATCAGTAAATATTTGTTAAACAATTGAACTAATGTATGAATGAAATGAATGAGAACATCTGGGTTGTAGTTCCTACTTTGCCATGATGTAGCTTCCTAATACTGAAATATTAACAAACTACAATTTTGTCATCTGTAAAATGGCAATAATAAAAGTATCTTGTTTTTGGACAGGATTTAAAGCAGTAAAAAATGTTATAGCAAGTAGCATGTGCTGAATTAACATAACTACTATTAGCTCTCTGCACTTCGGGTACTCATTCATAAAACAGGGTCAGTAACTTCTGCCTCGCTTCCTTCACAAGGCTGTTTGTGAAGCCTACAGGAGTTAATGCTTGACTCTATAAGTGGTTATTAATATTAATGTTTTAATAGGCCTGTACCTGCATTATACAGCTGTTCTGCTCTTCCCATCCTCTGGCAAGGTTATTTAAATGAAAACGCATTTTCTATTTTATTGAGACAGGGTCTTACTCTGTCACCCAGGCTGGAGTGTAGTGGCACAATCATTGCTGACTGCAATCTCTGCCTCCTGGGCTCAATCGATCCTCCCACTTCAGCCTTCCAAGCGGCTGGGACTATAGGCACTTGCCACTACACCCCGACTAATTTTTGTATCTTTCGTAGAGACAGGATTTTGCCATGTTGCCCAGGTTCATCTCCAACTCCTGGGCTCAAGCGATCTGCCCAGGATCTCACTCTCCCAAAGAGAGATCCGCCCAGGAACTCACTCTCCCAAAGAGCTGGGAGTACAGGAGTGGGCCTGGCCAAAAACGCGTCTTTAAAGAGACCTGATACTCCCGCATGTCAGCCCAGCCTGGGCCAACCAATTACACTAGAAACAGCACCTGTGCGAAGTCCTTCACAGGCAGCAGTCAATTTTTAAATACCCAGTTCCACCCCTTCCTGTTAGGGTTTTTTATGTCGCAGCTATGCACGTTGATTGGTCCTCTGCTAGCCAATCGACTGCACTTCCTGAAGGCTGTAGTTTTCAAAATCCCAACTGAGCTGGTGGAGGGGTGCGGGAGCCAAGTTGAGACGGACGTGGGTACGGTGAAGAGCTCCATTCATTTCCGTGGCTTCTCCTGGTCGGGGTGCATCCATAGTCTTTCCCGTCTGTCCCCAATCTCGGTGTGAGGAAGGTATATTTGGGCAAGTACTGCCCGCTCGAGTGTCTGGCTCTATTGCCTGCCGGTGGGTCATTGGGCGTAACTCCAGCCCCATGCTGTATTCTCTTGTTGGCATGCGCGGCCTTCCTGTAAGGAAACTTTGTTTCGTTCTCCTGTCAATCAGCAGTCTGTGGAGTGAGCCCTGTACAAGGTTGGGCAAGGGGGAGTGTTTGTTAAAGAATGAGATGGCAAAGCAAGTGAGACTGAGTCCCAGCTTTTAGATGGAGCAATTAGCACACGCGCCTGAATCAGAGTCCTTTTACAAAACGTCTTTTCACAAGTGAAAGTGTGCAGGATTAATTGCATCTACAAGTGCAGAGAGATCAGACATATTTAAGTCATAGAATGCTTCTTACAGGATGTCTTTTGAGCTACAGGTTGAAGGATATGAAGGGACGATGGAGACATGTGTCCTCACTCTATTGTTAACCCTTTATCTTCACTGGCTGTTCTATTCCCACCTGCAACTTCCTTCAGCTTTGGCTTTCTCGCCATCCTCTGCTATGGTCCACTAACAAATCATAGAAGATCAGAGGTAGAAGGAACCCTAGAACATTGGCTCTTTAACCTTAACATGCATAGAAATCATCTGGGGATATTGTTAATTTGCAGATTTTGATTTGATAGTTCTAGTTTGGGGCCTGAGGTTTTAAATTACTAACAAATTTCCAGGTGATGCTAATGTTGCTTGTCCATTGACCACAGTGAATGGCGAGGAGGCTCTAGTTACACTGCCTTGTTTTATTGGGTAGGAAAACTGGAGCCCAGAGAGGGAAAGGGACTTGCCCAGTATCACCCAGCCAGCTAAGAGCCAGGCCAGAACTAGACCGTAGGCATCCTTCCCAGCCCAGTGCTGTTTTATTGACACAATGCTGTGTTCTCTCCCCAGAGCCTTGCTGTCTGTAACCTGTCTTTATATAAAAAATGAAGTTGCTACTACTTCCTGTAGACTGTTTGACCAGCTTAGCCTTGCTGCCCCTGTGTTGGTTTCAGCATCAGTCCTAGGAGGCCCAATGGGGTCTGCAACACTTACCAGTGTGTACATAGGGGACACGGAAAGTCTGAAAAGGGGAAAGGTTTCTAATTTTCTTGCCCAAGGCTCAGGGTTCTGTAGGTGGCAGAAGTTGAGAGTGTTCCTCAGAGAGTGTCCTTTTACGAAAGGATCTTTTTGATGGTGTCAATCCCCTCTCCTCCTCTTCCTACCCCCAGAAAAATTAGTTTACCGAAGTCAGTGTGTCAGTCCCTCAATGCAAGTGATTAATGTTAAGGATAATAAATGAGGTATATGACTATCATTTAAATAACCTTATTTTCTCTGAGATTTAGTTAACCTGTATGTCATCAGCTGAGAGTTTTCTAGCCTATGGACTCCATATTTCTTTTTCCTTTTAAAAGGTAAAGGTTTCAGAGTGTGAGTCTTTGGTCATCCATAAAAAAATTGTATGAAGCATAAATAATAATAGTGGAGTGATTTTCATACAGTGCAGTTAAGGGCGGGTGCACCCAATTTAGCTTTATTGCTGATTGGCTGAGTTTTGAGGGATGAGATGGAGTATAGGTTTGGATTTGATAGAAGACGGGAGTAAGACAGCATTTATTAAATGCCTGCCATGCATCAGGTTTCGTGTGTGTAAATTTGCATTTGCTACACAAGTCCTCTGCAAGTAAGTGGTGTTATAGCTGTTTTGCAAATAAGGAAACTGAGGCTCAGAAATGCTAAGTTGGCTGGCTTAGAAGTCCAGTTACTCTGACTCCAAGACCTCTGCTCATTTTACCTCCTCACACTATGGCCTTTCACTGTTTTGGAATGTTTTTGAGTGTGATCAAAGAGACTTCATGGTATTTTAGAAATTGCTCTGGGAAAAGCTGAGCAATCTATGCCCCTTAATAGTTTGTCCTGGGTAGTAAGTTACTTAATTCATCTGAGACTATAAAATAGAGAAAATTGTACCTGCCCTGCTTAGCCTCATAGTATTTTTGTGAGAATCAACTGAGGTAATATATGTGAATACCTATACTGGCATTTCCTCACCTACAAAATGTTTGGTCCTTCTCCATCGAAAGTGAAACCCAAATTGGTCTTTCTCCTTTCTTAAACTTTCCCCTCAAGCTGAAGTCTTTTCTGTTTCCTTTTCTTACCAGCCTGGCCCTGGCCTAGTTTTTTAGCCTCATTCCAACCCCTGCCCCAACATGTTATTTATGCTCCATACTCCAGACAACTAGGACATTCCTGAAGTCTGTATGTTCATGCCTCTGCCTGGGGGGCAGGCTTTTTTTTTTTTTTTTTGCCTGGAAGCCTCCAAGTCACCTTGGGAACCTGGTTGTCATTTTAAGTCCTGATCAAATTTTGCTTCCTCTGTGAAGCCTTCTCCAGCCCTTGTCCCCAACAAGACCACTGACTTTCCATTATGTTTTTCTAGTACTTAGTTTGCACTGCTATAATAAAGTGCCATGTACTGGGTGGCATTTCATTCTCACAGCTCTGGAGGCTGGGAAATCCAAGATCAAGTTCTTATGTCAAGTGATTTTTCAGTAAGTTAGTTTCTTTTGCTGTAATCACATCCTTGGAATTTTTTTTACGTCCAGGTGTCTAGAACTGGATTACAGTTTCTTTTGATTGAATGCAGCCTTTGAATGCTGCCTGGCCTATCATGAATACATGTGTGTGCAGTTATTCTTTTGTTTTCTCTGTAGGATCATAATTGCTATTGCCAGGACCCCACGCCTTTAAAAGAACGTTAGCTCTACCAGCTCACCTCCATATTATATGATCTGTCATGTTCTTCATTGTTTTCAATGCAAAACTCCTATGTAATTAGTCACCAGTGTTGCTAGGCCTAAACTAGGGGCTAGACAACATCTCAGTGTTCACAGAGGATGGTAGGCACTGCGCTCAGCTTTTTACATAAAGTATCTCATTTAATTTGAACAACGTGCTGCAGAGGTAGGTATACTTATCTCCATTTTACAGATGAAGTAACTGAAGCCCAGAGATTTTAAGTCAGTTACTTGCCTGAGGTTAATTGTGTTAAAAACCAAGATTTGAATTAAGATCTGCCCAACATCAAAGTCTGTTTTCTCCTAGGGATGTTATAGATAGACTGGGTTTTCTCAAGAATTTTCAGATAATTTTGTGGTGTTTCTGGTGAATGGTGTTAAAGAGTCCCTTTCTGATTGCAACCCTGCCTTGGACAAGACGTGGTTGAATCTGTAAGAGATGCTACTGCCACTACTACCCCAGAGCTCCAAACCTGAGCCTAAGAAATCTCAGTCCAGCAAAATTGTGCCCAGCAGAGCAAGTTGTCTTTCCCAACAACATATTTGATAGTCTCTTCCTGTGTTGGCTCAGTACCTAACCTCACCTGTGAATCTTTTGAAATACGTCTGGTTTAACCTGAGAAAGTGGGGAAGGGTGGCAGCCCTTGTAGTTGGAGAATGCCACAAATTAGAACTTAGGGAGAAAGTATGGACTCTTACTTCTCATAAAATGCAGGGCTCAAATGAAGGCCACCCTCCATAACCCTCAAAACTGAACAGCACTCAGTCCTCCTTAATGATCATGTCCATATTCTTACTTTCTCTGAGGAGCTCCAAGCACCTTACTGAAAGGCTGTTTGGTATATTCTGGGGAGAGTATGAAGGTTACATCAGCATAAATATTATTATGCTTTTTATAGCTATTAAGTTTGAAGAATGGGTATATTTTGACTCTGTTGTTTTGACTTTATTGATAGTTTGATATTCTAACCTGATATTCTGTGTTCACCATCATACATATTTTAATCAGAATTATACCAGCACTGATGAATTGGTATCGAGAGTATTTCCTGGAGCAAAACATTATTAGGTGAATTTAATTTCCTTGATTGGTTTTTCTCTGAGTACAGATAAACATTTTTTAATGATGTTTGTTTTACTAAAATGATTTTCACAGAAGTGCCAAATTTTTTTCCATGTACATTTTTCAAGAAAGATTTGATACGTTGGCCGGGCACAGTGGCTCACACCTGTAATCCTAGCATTTTGGGAGGCTGAGGTGGGCAGATCACGAGGTCAGGAGTTCGAGACCAGCCTGGCCAACATGGCAAAACCCCATCTCTACTGAAAATACAAAAGTTAGCCGGGCATGGCAGTGGATGCCTGTAATCCCAGCTACTCGGGAGGTTGAGGTAGGAGAATCACTTGAACCCGGGAAGCGGAGGTTGCAGTGAGCTGAGATCGTGCCATTGCACTCCAGCCTGGGCGATCAGAGCAAGACTGTCTAAACAAACAAACAAACAACCCCCCCCCCCCCCGCCACACACACACAAAGATTTGATACATTGATGAGACTTTTGTCAACATCAAATTTTCTGATTGGTGTTCTGTCATTGTAACTTTTCTTTAGTGGCAGTTATTTTTACAAAACCAACTTTGTTGGAGTACATTTTGCAAGCCTAAGTTTTGTTGAGTTCAGTTTCAGCTGTAATTTTATTTTAGGTCAATTATTTCTACCAGTAATATTAAATAAGAGTTGGATAACAGTTTATTTCTTAGTTAATTTGTGAGAAAATAATATTTCATTTTTGGCTAATTTCTGGTAGGATTATTTATCATGAACCAGATGAAAGACTAATAGTTTACTTATGTCTTGGCTTAATCAACTAGAAAATGAAAGTAATTCTTCTCAGCTTTTTTTTTTTTTTTTTTTTTTTTTTTTTTGAGACGGAGTTTTCGCTCTTGTTACCCAGGCTGGAGTGCAATGGCGCAATCTCGGCTCACGGCAACCTCCGCCTCCTGGGTTCAAGCAATTCTCCTGCCTCAGCCTCCTGAGTAGCTGGGATTACAGGCAAGCGCCACCATGCCCAGCTACTTTTTTGTGTTTTTAGTAGAGACGGGGTTTCACCATGTTGACCAGGATGGTCTCGATCTCTCGACCTCGTGATCCACCCGCCTCGGCCTCCCAAAGTGCTGGGATTACAGGCTTGAGCCACCGCGCCCGGCCTCTTCTCAGCTTTTTAAAGATTGCTCTGTGTGCTGGATTGGTTTATTGTGTCATGAATTCAATTCTGATAACTCACTGTGCCATGTATTAACTATTAATGGTACAGCTGGAGAACAGAGCAAATGGTCTGATCCTGGTGTCCTGCTTCACATTATAACAACTCTCTGATATAGGTAGGGCAGGTTTGTTCTCAGAATTTTATAAGGGCAATCTGAGACTTAGAAGACTTTTAGCACATAAAGCTGTTAGAGGGTAGAAGACTCCTATAGTATGATTTGCCCTAACCTCTAACCCTACAGAGATGGTCTTATTCATTTGGGAATGGGATAAGGCATGCACAGATACAGAATATGTGGAAAGAAAGCCCCCTTTGCTCCAAAATATTCATCCTCTTTCCCTTCTCTGCCCCTTCCTTATATACACTAACAATCTGAGATTAATCTAGATTACTAAACATTTTTTAATAGAAAATTTTCTTTGTGAAGTTTACAATCATATCAGACTACATTCTTTTAAATACTATTTCTTCCAATTTACAGTTCATACAAACTTTTAAAAAACATGTATTCTCTTATTTAATCCTGAAGGACTATAAGGCAAGTTACCTAGTTTTACTGATAAGAAAATTGAGGCTCAGAGATTAAGTGACTTGTCCAAGGTCAACAGCTAGTAAAGAGCTGATCCTGGAGCAGTATCTAGATATGTGTGCTATTATCCTTACTGGTAATGTCTTTTTTTTTAAATTGCATTTTAGGTTTTGGGGTACATGTGAAGAACATGCAAGATTGTTGCATAGGTACACACATGGCAGTGTGGTTTGCTGCCTTCCTTCCCCTCACCTGTATCTGTCATTTCTCCCCATGCTATCTCTTCCCACCTCCCCATGCCCCCCGTCCCTCCCCCATTTCCCCCCAATGGACCCCAGTGTGTAGTGCTCCCCTCCCTGTGTCCATGTGTTCTCATTGTTCAACACCGCCTATGAGTGAGAACATGCAGTGTTTAATTTTCTGCTCTTGTGTCAGTTTGCTGAGAATGATGGTTTCCAGGTTCATCCATGTCCCTACAGAGGACACGAACTCATCGTTTTTGATGGCTGCATAATATTCCATGGTGTATATGTACCACATTTTCCCTATCCAGTCTATCATCGATGGACATTTGGGTTGGTTCCAGGTCTTTGCTATTGTAAACAGTGTTGCAATGAACATTCGTGTGCATGTGTCCTTATAGTAGAATTATTTATAATCCTTTGGATATATACCCAGTAATGGGATTGCTGGGTAAAATGGGATTTCTATTTTTAGGTCATTGAGAAATTGCCACACTGTCTTCCACAATGGTTAAATTAATTTACACTCCCACCAACAGTGTAAAAGTGTTGCTATTTCTCCACATCCTCTCCAGTATCTGTTTGTCTCCAGATTTTTTAATGATCGCCATTCTAACCGGTGTGAGATGGTATCTCAATGTGGTTTTGATTTGCATTTCTCTAATGAACTGGTAATGTCTTTTAAAACAGGTCCCCAACCCCTGGGCCACAGTCTGTGGCCTGTTAGGAGCCCAATTGCACAGCAGATGGTGAGCAGTGAGTGAGCAAAGCTTCATTTGTATTTATAGTCAGTCCCCGTTGCTCATATTACTTCCCGAGCTCCACCTCCTATCAGATCAGCAAAGACATTAGATTCTCATAGGAGCATGAACCCTATTGTTAACTGCGCATGTGAGGGATCTAGGTTGTGTGCTCCTTTTGAGAATCGAATGCCTTATGATCTGTCACTGTCTTCCATTTCCACAGATGGGACTGTCTAGTTGCAGGAAAACAGGCTTAGGGCTCCACTGATTCTACATTATGGCGAGTTGTGTAATCATTTCATTATATATTACAATGTAATAGTAAAAGTGCACAATAAATGTAATTTGCTTAAATCATCCTGAAACCAGCCCACCCCACTGTCTGTGGAAAATTTGTCTTCCATGAAACCAGTCCCTGGTGCCAAAAGGGTTGGGGACCGCTGTTGTAGAAGCTACTTAACTTAAGAGACAGATGCTTGTTAAATTATTGAACTTATTTATCTGAAAGTATCTATATTAAAGGAATGACTAGAAGTAGTAGGGGTGGTAGTGGTTCACTTGGATAGGATAACCATAAATATCAGAGAAATAAGAGGAAAAATGAGCTTTACTGAGCTATATTTTGCTCATTTTGTGAGTTAAACTGAAGATCATCTTGTCTCCCGAAAGATTTACCCCATTATCAATGACTGTCACCCTTAGGGACTTAATAAACAGCTCTGAGTGCCAAAATTTCCTTTTGTTGTAGTTTATTGGAGTTTATTACATGTATCCCCAGTTACTTTGAGATTCTGGAGTTTCCCCTGAGCCCTAAAGAGGACCTAGAGTCCCTGAAGAGATTGTTGACAATTGGATATACTCATTTACCTCTTTTACTTTTTTAAGATGGGGGAGAATTGCCAAGTGAAGCTCTCTCCATCTTCACTTCAGGGAGCACTCAAAAAGAGATCAGCTATTGAAGATCTCACTGATGTGAGTATGCTAGTCTAATCCTCTGCTATGGTTTTGCGTAAGGCTTAGACAGTCTCTTTCTTGAGGGACCTTTCCACTTAACCAGACCCTCTCTGGAATGTTGTCAGCAAATTTTATTTGGAATAAATGACCCAGTTTCAGAAACTGCAGGGGCTCTGCTTCTGGCACATACCATCTGGGGCAATTGGTGGAGTTCTCTGGAAGCAGCAGACAGTGATTATCAGATAAGAAATTGCAGATAACTGAGAATTACGGAATTTTGCGTTTAGATAAAGTCCAGAGATGATTGTTTAAGCCTTCGAGGTAAGTATTGTGGTGGAATCATTGTAGTCTAGTGCAGTGTTTATCAATTCACACACTATGGGACGTTTCAAGCAGGACAATTTTTCTATTGTGTAGGACTGATCTCAACCAGCACCCCTGGTCCCCAGGCATTAAATTCCACCAGCATCCTAGTCGTAGTGATAATAAAAAATGCCTCCTGATACACAGAACTACTGAGAACCATAGTTCCATGATCCAGTCTTTAACTATGAAGATCTAGAAGTTAAATTTTGATTAGAATTATTTCAAGTAACTCCCTTCTGGTATTATTAAGGTACAAGTAAAAATCAGAATTAATAGAATGTTGTTAATTGAATATAGAATCAAGCCAAAGGCAATCTTTGTCTTAGAAAATAAATGATACATGTACTGAGTGCTTACCATGTGTCGGGTGCTATGCTAAGCATGTTTTCCTCTATCAGCTCACTTAATCCTCATGTAATCCTATGAGGTAGATACTGTAATAATCTCTTCTTTATTGATGAGGACTTTGCCAATGTTGGTATTGAAGTCTGTATTATCTAGGTTATAGAGAATCCTGGTGAACTATCCTTGCCCTGCATTATAGAGTGTACTTTTTATTTTTACTCTTTTAGATGAGGGAGAATTGCCAAATGAAGCTCTCTCCATCTTCACTTCAGGGAGCACTCAAAAAGAGATCAGCTTTTGAAGATCTCACTAATGTAAGTGTGCTTGTCTAATCCTCTGCTATGGTTTTACATAAGGTTTAGAAATTCTTTCTTGAGGGACCTTTCCACTTTACCAGACCCTCTCTGGAATATTGTCAGCAAATTTTATTTGGAATACATGACCTAGTTTATTCTGTAGCTACTAGAATACTTGTATCTACTAAATAGTGTTTTACTCCCTTGGGCATAATTGGATAAGCGTTGGTGAAGTTCTTTCCTTTGGATCCCAGCTCTTTACATTTTGTATAACCACCTTTTTGCAAATACAGTCTCGTCCCCATGAAGATTACAACATGATTTTTAAGATATAGCTGTCTGCATAATTTCAGACTTACTATCAATTGGTAGAAAGAGCCCCTTCCCACATACACACTTGAAAGGTTAGATTCATTTCCTGACTTATTTAACCATGGATACAGAATTTGGCTGAAATAAGGTAGCCACAAGTCAGGAGCAGATGCAGCCTGTCTTAGTGTAACTTCCCTTGGCCTCTCCAAGTCTGATGGAAGTACAGTGACACTATGCAAGGGAAGTGTCTTAGTCTATGTGATTCATTATGACAAAACACCTTAGACTGGGTAACTTATAAACAATAGAAACTTATTGCTCACAGTTCTGGAGGCTGAAAAGTCCAAGATCAAGGTGCTGACAGATTTGATGTCTGGTGAGGGCCCATTCCTCATGGATGACAGCTTTTGCCTGTACCCTCACATGGTGGAAGAGTCAAACAAGCTCCCTTGGACCTCTTTTATAAGGGCAGTAATGCCATTCACAAGGACTGTACCCTCATAACTTAATCACCTCTCAAAAGGCCTGTCTCTTAATAGTATCACATTGGGGATTAGGTTGCAACATAATGAATTTCAAAGGGACACAAATATTCAGATCATAGCAGTAAAGTATCACAGTATATGAGAAACTTTCTTGAGACATCTCAGTCCTTTTTTTCATGAGTTTATCTTACCATTCAGAAAGAACAGACACAGATGAACTATATCAATAATAGGCAATTCATACAGATATCTAGTATCCTCCTGATTCTCCAGCTGAATTGAGCTTCTGTTTGGCTATATCCCCATGGGGTTAGTGGGGAGGGGAGCAAGGCATCTCTGAGCAGCGTCTCTGCCTCTAGCTCTCTAGCAGCTCAGAAAGTCCATTTTCCTTTTGCACTCAGGTTCTGAAGATTTACCTTGGTTATCTTGAATTTTCTTTGGTGCCTTCCAGAGAAAGTTCTATCATTACAATGTACCTAAGCCATTCCTAGGGTTGGGCATTACTGTAGATATCTGAGCTCATCTATTTGACAGTTGAGGGTTCCTTTCTCTCTGGGTTTCAGAGGTTCCCTATATGATAATTTACTTCTTTCGGTCAGTATCCATGTCTTCATCTCTGTGTTCTTCTCAACATTTGCCATAGTGAGGTCCTGGCCTGCCAAAAAGAGTTAATCTGTTTTAATTAGTTAATCTGCTGTGAGTTTTTCTTTTCCTCTCCCTTATCATTTATAGCATGGGAAGGACTTGTGATATTTAAGAGCTGGTGCTAAGCCAGAATACAAGGAGATAGAACCTATATCCATGTTTGCCTAAATGATTTTGTGTAAGTAGGACTTTCATTTATTTTTATTTATATAAATAAATATATAAATATTTATATAAATAAATATATAAATATTTATTTTATATTTTTAACATAAAGTCTTGCTCTTTTGCCCAAGCTGGAGTGCTCTTTTGCCCAAGCTGGTGTGATCACAGTTCACTGCAGCCTCAGCCTTCTGGGCTCAAGTGATCCTCCCACCTCAGCCTTCTGAATAGCTGGGACTACAGGTGCTCGCCACCATGCCCAGCTAATTTATGTTTTCTTTTTGTAGAGATGGGATTTTGCCATATTGCCCAGGCTGGTCTTGAACTACTGGGCTCAAGTAGTTCTCCCGCCTTGACCTCCCAAAGTGCTGTGATATAGGCGTGAGCCACCACACCCAACCTTCATTTCTATTTTCCTATTTTATGGTGAAAGAATTATGGGAAAGTATAAGTAAAGGTCCCCTTGAGCTTAGACTTGAAAATATCAGTGTTTTGTACCTGCATGTATGGCAAGTAGAGAGTTTGATCTTGGGGGTTATGGTCTCCACCTCTTTCTTTCCAAGAATGCACTTCTTTTCCCATTCTGAATCTTGATTGCACATATAAGGGGGTTGTAAAATTTAGGTGAAGTTAAAATGAAGATTCTGCCAAGCTCTTTGAAAAGCAGAGGTAGATGACTTGAGGTCCTAAGAAAGAATTCCCTAGTAGACTGTAGTTGTTTATTATGATCTGATGATACAAAGACATACTTTTTTTTTTCTTCATTTCATTTGGAAGTACTTTCAAATTTATGAAGTGTTACAAAAATAAAAATTGTACAGAGAACACCAGTATAACTTTTACTGGATTACTTATTGCTGATATTTTGTCCCACGTGCTTTCTCATCTGCTTATATACATCATGGTCCCTTTACCCCTAAGTATAGTGTGTATTTCCTAAGAATAGGGAAATTGTCTTATAAAACCACAGCACACTTACTAATTTTCTAAATTTACATTGATATAACAGTTTTGTGTAATCAGTCATCTATATTCCAGTTTTGCCAGTTGAACTTATAACAAGCTTTATAGCATGTTTTCCCCTCCAATAGAGGATCCAGGCTAGGATCATGTATTGTATTTACTTGTCTCTTTAGCTTCTTAATCTGGAACATTTCCATGCCTTTTTTTTTTTTTAATGACATTGCCATTTTTGAGGATACAGTCCCACCCAACTCCCCACTTTGTAAAATAGAAACTCCTCACTTTGTTTTTGTTTAATGTTTGCTTGTGACGAGATTGATACATTCTTGGCTAGGATACCGTGTAGGTGATGTTCTTGCTGTCCTTCTCAAAGTATCATATCTGGAGGCACAGGATGTCTGTCATTCATTGATGATGTTAATTTTGATCACCTGGTCAAGATGTTGCCTGGTTTTTGTACTGTATCAATATTGTTTATCTTTTTTATCTTGCAACTAGTAAGGAATCTATAAGACATACTCTTAAGAGCCTGCAAATAACTTGCTTTTCATAAAAATGTCCTCTAGATTTAGCATCTATTGTTGATTTATGCCTAAATATTTATTATGACTTTACCAACTCTAGTGCTTGCTCTAGGTTGTTGATTTGAGATCTTTCTAGCTTTTTGATATGGGCATTTAGTATATGTACACACATATACCTATTTAGGAAATCATAAATTCATACAGCTTCAATTCCAATGCATAAGATTCTTTCTTGGATTCACTAATCCTTATTTGTATGTTTTTCTATAATGAGAGCCCTGGTTCCCAAGAACATCAACACATTTGCTTAATACTGTAATACAGCTAAAAGAGTTTCAAAATGGCTTCATCCAAACCACTGTAATAAACAAACCTACTAAAAAGAGTTCCAGATTTATTAGCAATATCTACCACCTCCCCTGCAAACCTATCCTATTGAGGATGTGTACTTCAAGGGTAGGTAGTCAAATGCTATTTATAAGTTACTTGGATTTGTTATTTCTGATCTTTTCTTCCACTTTCTCTTTTCCTTTAGTGCAGTTATGGTACTTGAAATATTTGAAATATAATTAGGTTCCTTTGTGTCATTTAATTTTTTAAGTTTTACAGTTTTTTTGAGACAGAGTCTTGCTCTGTTGCCCAGTCTGGAGTGCAGTATTGTGATCAAAGCTCATTGCAGTTTCAACCTCCTGGACTCAAGTGATCCTCTCACCTCATTCCCCCCAAGTAGCTGGGACCATAGGCATGTGCCATCACACCCAGCTATTTTTTTTACATTTTGTAGTGACAGGGTCTCCCTATGTTGCCCAGGCTTGTCTTGAACTCGGGCTCAAGTGATCCTCCCACCATGACCTCTCAAAGTGCTGGGATTACAGGCATGAGCCACTGTGACTGGTCTATTTGTTTCATTTTAAAGATAAAACTTTAACTGTATTTTTACTGACATTATTCACAGTCCCATGATCTTTCCTACTGTTTAATAGTGTTATTTAGGATAAACGTCTGTGGTAGAACTCCCCAGAGCCCACATTAAATAAATGCCATTTAGTGAGATGGGATAGATATATCACAGGTAGTATTGTGTTAGAGGTATATCCTGAAGAGGCACACCCAGCCAAGCAAAGTCAATCATACTGCTTTTTTACTCCCTCTGAAAATCTTATGAGGTCAGAGGTGGAGTACGATGTTAACACAGCATCTTTTCAGTTATTTGCCAGCCAGTAGACCTGACATAAAGCACAGAACTATATCCTGTATCTCTTGGAAACATGTAGGGCTGCTATTTAGCCAACACATACCAGTATTACTGCACTGGTTGTTTGATGCTAGCCTCCACTGTGATTGATTGGCCCAGTGTCATACTGGTTGTGAGATGTTTGGATTATCACTCCTGGGAGTACCCAACCAACTTATGTGGGTCAGAATTCTCCTATGATAGTCATCTATTAGGTAATTTGTGGTTTTCTTCATTTTTCTGCCTCCTTCTTCCCCTGCCCCCCAACTTTTTCTTTTTTGCAGGCTTTTCAGTGTCAACCTGCCCAGCCCAAGAAAGAAGCCAACAAAGAGTTTGTAAAAGATGTTTCTAAGAAGATAAACAGAAACACTCGTGCTTTTGGATTGGCCATAAAGAATAAACGGAATCTAAAATGGTGAGTGAGAGGGGACTCAGTGGCGTTATTTTAGATGGTAGAGTGTATGACATCCTTTTATCCCTTTTTTGTCCCCATTGAGAACTTATTTAGCGAGCCACAGTTGTGACTACCACATTAACCCTGGGTGCTGAGGGGGGCCTTGCTGTGGTTGCTGAAGAGTTATAGGCCTCTTTGATTTCTCTTCTTTCATTATGTGTGTGCATATTGAAAGAACTGTTGTCACTGTAAAGTTTGCCAAAAAACCTTGTGCTCATCTTTTCCTCTCTTTTAGTAATTCAGTACCTGTTTGAGCTGGTCTGTGCTTGGGAGTGTGGTGACAACTTAACTTTTCAGGGACTTTCAGCAGCTGACAGGTAGCTTGCCAATCTGCTTATCCCATTAGAAGCTTTAGGGGTTTGTTCCTTGTTACTGTAGATAAATTACTGTCTCCCTAGATCAAAAAACATGTGTCTTTCAGCTGTTATAGGTACGGTTCACAGGTTCTACAAGTACAGATGCACATTCCCATTTAGTATTGGAAAAAGAATTTACCTCTAGGAAGACTTTTATTGAAATATGACTTAGATAGTGGAATGAGACCTTTCGGTATCCCCTCCTCATTCTGGTGGGAATTATTCTTCAGGGAATGACCAATCTACCTCTGAATAGATTAGATAGTGATAGCTATTACAGGGCTAAAGTCAATCATACTGCCTTTCTTTCCCACTGAAAACCTTATGAGGTCAAGGTGGATTGATGTTAACACAGCATCTTTTCAGTTATTTGCCAGCCAATAGGCCTGGCATAGAGCCCAGAACTACGTCCTGTATCTCTTGGAAACACTTAGGGCTGCTATTTAGCCAACTCATACCAGTACTATTGTACTGGTTGTTTGATGCTAGCTTCCACTGTGATTGGTTGGCGCAGTGCCATGCTGGTTGTGAGATGTTTGGATTATCACTCCTGGGAGCATGGAACGGTAAGGTTAGAAGATTGGGTAACTCTAGAAAATAACCTGCAAGGTCCACAGGATATTTTGCTAATTACCCAGCAGAAAGAACGTTAGCATTTAGCCTTACTTGGTTTCCTGCTGAAATGGATTCCTGGAGTTTGCATGCATATTTTGACCTTAATTATCTGCATTATTTTCTTTCAAATTTTTTTCATCATTCTGACTTTAGCAGGGCAATCCTCACAAATGTCATAAACATTCCTCCCTTCATTCAGGGTTTAGTGGAAAGGACCCTAGTAATAGTATGAAAACTAGTAATAGCTGCCATTTATTGAGAGCTCACTATAATCCCACAAGTATAATCACTAAGTCTTTTTTTTTGATAACAGCTTTATTGAGATATAATTTGCATACCATACAGTTCACCCATTTAAAGTATACAATTCAGTGGTATTTAGGATATTCACAGTTATACAGCCGTCACAATCAATTTAAGGACATTTTCATTAACTCCAAAGGAAATTCGGCACCTTTGGTTATCACCTTTCAATACCCCAACCTGCCCAGCTCTGGGTAACCACTAATCTACTTTCTGTCTCTATATAGATTTCCCTATTCTGGATGTTTCGTATAAATGGAGTTAGACAATGTGTGGTCTTTTGTGTCTAGTGTCTTTCACTTAGCATGTTTTCGAGGTTCATCCCTGTTATAGCAGGTTATCAGTACTTCATTTCTTTTTATTACAAAATAATATTTCATTGCATATATATACCACATTTGGTTTACCCATCCATCAGTTGATAGATATTTGGGTTGTTTTTACCTTTTGGTTGTTGTGAATAGTGCTGCTATGAACATTTGTATATACATTTTTGTTTGAACACTTGTTTTCAATTCTTTTGTGTGTATACCTAGGAGTGTGGTTGCTGGGTCATGTGGTAATTATATGTTCCATGTATTGAGGATCTGCCAAGCTGCATTCCATACACCATTTTACATTTCCTCCAGCAGTGTATTTACTAGAGGAAATGTAAAATGGTGTAGCCACTATGGAGTGGTGACAGCGTTTTGTTTGTTTCTGTGAGACAGAGTCTCACTCTAACCAAGGCCAGAGGGCAATGGCACAATCTTGGCTCACTGCAAACTTCTCCTCCTGGGTTCTAGCGATTCTTGGGCCTCAGCCTCCCGAGTAGCTGGGATTACAGGCACCCAGCACCACACCTGGCTAATTTTTGTATTTTTAGTAGAGACAGCATTTGCCATGTTGGCCAGGCTGGTCTCAAACTCTTGACCTCAGGTGATATGCCTGCCTCAGCCTCCCAAAGTGCTGGGATTACAGGAGTGAGCCACCATGCCCAGCTGGCAGTGTTTTTTGTTTTTTGTGTTTTTTTATTGCATTTTAGGTTTTGGGGTACATGTGAAGAACATGCAAGATTGTTGCATAGGTACACACATGGCAGTGCGGTTTGCTGCCTTCCGTCCCCTCACCTGTATCTGTCATTTCTCCCCATGCTATCTCTTCCCACCCCCCCGTCCCTCCCCCATTTCCCCCCAACGGACCCCAGTGTGTAGTGCTCTCCTCCCTGTGTCCATGTGTTCTCATTGTTCAACACCCGCCTATGAGTGAGAATATGCAGTGTTTGATTTTCTGCTCTTGTGTCAGTTTGCTGAGAATGATGGTTTCCAGCTTTATCCATGTCTGCATGAACTCATCCTTTTTTATGGCTGCATAGTATTCCATGTTGTATATGTGCCACATTTTCTTTATCCAGTCTATCACTGATGGGCATTTGGGTTGGTTTCAAGTCTTTGCTATTGTGAATAGTGCCGCAATGTTTCTTTATAACAGAATGATTTATGATCTTTTGGGTATATACCCAGTAATGGGATTGCTGCGTCAAATGATGTTTCTATTTCTAGATCCTTGAGGAACTGTCTTCCACAATGGTTGAACTAATTTACACTCCCACCAACAGTGTAAAAGCATTCCTATTTCTCTACATCCTCTCTAGCATCTGTCTCCCGATTTTTTAATGATTGCCATTCTAACTGGCATGAGATGCTATCTCAGTGTGTTTTTGATTTGCATGTCTCTAATGACCAGCGATGATGAGCATTTTTTCATGTTTGTTGGCTGCATAAATGTCTTCTTTTGAGAAGTATCTGTTCATATCCTTCACCCACTTTTTGATGGGGTTGTTTGTTTTTTTCTTGTAAATTTGTTTAAGTTACTTGTAGATTCTGGATATTAACCCTTTGTCAGTTGGGTCAATTATGAAAATTTTTTCCCATTCTGTTGGGTGCTGGTTCTCTCTAATGATAGTTTCTTTTACTGTACAGAAGCTCTTTAGTTTAATTAGATCCCATTTACCAATTTTGGCTTTTGTTGCCATTGCTTTTGGTGTTGTAGTCATGAGGTCCTTGCCCATGCCTATGTCCTGAATGGTATTGCCTAGGTTTTCTTCTAGGATTTTTACAGTGTTCGGTCTTACATTAACTCCAGATGGATTAACAATATAAACATAAGAGCTAGCTGGAATTCTTGTACAAATGCCTTGGATCTGTGGATCAACTTGGGAAGTATTGACTTTTTTTTTTTCCCCCCCAGACAGAGTCTCACTCTGCTGCCCAGACCAGAGTGCAGTGATGTGATCTTAGCTCACTGCAACCTCCACTTCCCAGGTTCAAGTGATTCTTATGCCTCAGCCTCCCCGAGTAGCTGGTATTACAGGTGTGTGGCCACCATGCCTGGCTAATTTTTTTTGTTTTTTGAATTTTTGTAGAGACAGGGTTTCGCTATGTTGGTCAGGCTGGTCTTGATCTCCTGACCTGAAGTGATATGCCTGCCTCAGCCTCCCAAACTGCTGGGATTACAGGCATGAGCCACTGTGCCCAGCCTGACACCTTAACAATACTCAGTTTTCTAATTCATGAACATGGATGTCTATCTATTTAGATATTTAGTTTTTTCAATGTTTTTTACAGTTTCTGGAATATAAGTTTTACGCTTATTTTATTAAATTTATTTCTAAGCATTTTCTTCTCGATACTATTATAAATGGAATTGTTTACTTAATTTCATTTTCAGATTATTCATTGCAAGTATATAGAAACACATTTGATTTTTGTTTATTGATTTTGTGTCTTGGAATCTTGCTGAAATTGTTCGTTTTAATAGTTTTTGTGTGTATTCCTTAGGATTTTCTCTATGGAAGATCATGTCATCTGTGAATATAGATAGTTTTACTTTTCAAAACTGGATGCCTTTTATTTAGTTTTCTTGCCTGCTTGCCCTGGCTACAACCTCTAGTACAGTGTTGAATAGAAGTATCAAGAGTTGGACATTCTTGTTTTCTCCCTGATCTTTGGGGGAAAGTATCAGAATTTCACCATTGAGTATGATGTTAGCTTTGCATTTTTCATAGATATCCTTTATCAGGTTGAGGAACCTCCTTTTTGCTTCTTGTTTGTTGAGTGCTTTTTATCATGAAAGAGGGTTGGATTTTGTGAAATGATTTTCCTGGATCTTTTGAGATGATCATGTAGTTTTTGCTTTTTATTCCATTAATGTGATATAGTATACAAATTGAGTTTGGGGTGTTAAGTTAATCTTGCATTCCTGGGATAAATCCCATTTGGTTATAATGTATAGTCCTTTTATATGTTGCTGGATTTGGTTTGCAGTATTTGGCTGAGGATTTTTGCATCTATATTCATCAGAGGTGTTGGTCTATAGTTTTTTAATGGTGTTTGTCTGTTTTCGGTATCAGAGGAATAGTGACCTCATACAGTGAGTTAGAAACCTCCCACTTTTTGCATTTCTTGGAAGAGTTAATGAAGATCCGGTATTCTTGTTTAAATGTTTGGATAGAATTGAAGCCATTTGATCCTGGACTTTACTTTGTGAGTAGTTTTTGATTATTGATTTGATGTCTTGTTTTAGGTCTATTCAGATTGTCTGTTTTCTTCTTGAGTCAGTTTTGGTAGTTTGTGTCTTCCTAGGAATTTGTCTATTTCATCTAAATTATCTAATTTATTGACAATCAATTGTTCATGACATTCCTTTAAGTGTTTTTTTTTTTTTTAATGTGGGCTTATGAAAAAAATATGCACATATATTATTGTACTTTAGGTTCTTGGGTACATGTGCAGATTATGCAGGACTGTTGCATAGGTACATACATGGCAAGGATGTTTTTAAGCATATTAATTTGTTGAATCTTCACAATAAGCCTATGAAGGAGCTATTATGATCCCTATTTTATAGGTGAAAAAAACTGAAGCACAGAGAGTTAACTTGCCCAAGGTCACCCAGTCAGTAAGTAGAGGAGCCAGAATTTGAATCCAGGCAGTCTAGCTCCGGATGAATGTTCTTACCTTAGCTAGACTATTTAAAGATCTTCTCTAAAAGTTATCAGGAGGGACCTGGAATCTATCTGGTCAAGCAGAACCTTTTGAAGTACTTACTTTTTTTTCTTAACAAATAAGTGTTTTTTTATTCTATTCCTAGATTTGTACAGCTATCACCACTATCTAATTTTAGAACTTTTTCAACCCCCACCCCCACTAAATCCATACCTACTAGGATTTCTTCCCTTTCCAATCCTCCTGTCTGCTCCTACTCCTTTCCCAGCCTCAGGAAACCACTAGTCTACTTTCTGCTATGGATATACCTCTATGGACAGGTTCATTCTGCATATTTCATATTGAACTGAATCATATATATGTTCTCTCTTTTGAAGGTATTTACTCCTGTTCAGACTGGTAATTATATCTACCTGCAGTTCTCCCTCTTCTTATTCTGATCTTTAGTCTTCCTGTGATTTGGTCTCACTAGATTCGTCACTCTGATTGAATATACAGTCCTATTCAAAACAAAGCTTTGCATCTGACACATGTGACAAATTTCTATTTCAGCCTTCCATTGGGAACACATCTCCTGAATTGCCCAGGATGAAGGGAATGTGGGTAGATACTACCAATTTTAATTACCAGCCCACCTCTCTCATTAGCCTTCAAACAATATTAATTTCAACTTGAATTTTACCAGATGCCTTGGATTGATAGACAAATGCAGCTAGTGAGGGAGACTGATACATGAACAGATAAGTATTATAATAAAAGCCTTTGTATATAAGGTAATAAAGCATATATAAGAAAGCATACATGAATTTCAATGGAAAAATTATAGAAAAGTCTAGGGATCTAGATCATAAAAACCATACAGTGTGCTACTTAAGTTGATTCACCATTATACCTATTGATTTTGTCCCTCTAATCTGTCTTACGGAGTTGAAGCCCCTTCCCTTTCATACCTTTAGTAAATACAGCAACAAGAGAAGATGGTAGATGAGGATTCTAGGAACTACATTTTTATTAACCAGACATTGTTTCCTTTACAGGCATAAGCTGGAAGTCACACCAGTAGTAGCCTCTACTACCTTGATACCAAACATTGTGGAGAAACCACTCATTCTAGACATAACCACCACCTCCAAAACACCCAGTACTGAGGCGGCATCTCTCTGCAGAAAGCCATTAGTTTTAAAAGAGGAACCCGCTACTGAGGATAAAATCCTTATCAAGAAGTCATTGTCTTTAAAGAAGTGCTCAAATCATGGGTACATGTCCCTATTGGAAAAGCCACAGCCCCTGCAGGAGGAGAGTGACAGTGATGATGAGCTTGTTATAGAGCCAATGACTTTTAAGAAGACACATAAAACTGAGGAGGAAGCCATCACCAATAAGACATTATCCTTAAAGAAGATGTGTGCAAGTCAGGAGAAGCAGTCCTGCCAGGAAGAGTTGTTGGCTTTGCAGGATGTCAATATTGAAGAGGATTCCTTTATGGAGTCAATGAGTTTTAAGAAGAAGCCTAAAACTGAGGAGTCAATCTCCACCAATAAGCTATCATCTTTAAGGAAGAAATGTACCATTCATGGGAAGATGTGCCACTTTAAGAATCCACTAGTATTGCAGACAGCCATCTCTGGAGAGATGTCCTCCATTAAGGAGCCATTGTCCTTTAAGAAAATGCCTACCAGTGAGAAGGAGACCCTTTTCCAAGAGCCATCTGCATTGCAAGAGAAGCACACCACTGAGCATGAGATGTCCATCTCGAAGAAATCATTAGCCTTGCAGGAGAAGACCAGCTTTAAAGAGAATTCCCTTGTTAAGGAGTCATTAGCCTTTAAGAAGAGGCCTAGCACTGAGGAGGCAGTCATGAGGCCATTAATTTTAAAGAAGCAGTGCATGACTCAGGGAAAGAGGTCCCACTTGAAGCCATTAGTATCGCAGGAGATCACCTCTGGAGAGAAGTCACTTATTACAAAGCCATTGTCCATTAAAGAAAAGCCTACTACTGAGAAGCCCTTTTCCCAAAAACCACTTGCATTACAAGAGAAGCACACCACTCAGGGGGAGGTAGAGCACTTGAAGAAGCCATGGGCATTGCAGCAGAATAGTGACAGTGAAGATGACTTTATGGAGCTAGTTTCCTTTGAGAAGAAGCATACTACCAAGGAGTCAACCTCCATGACGAAGCCATTATCTTTAAAAAATGAGAAAGGTGCCACACAGGGAAAGTTGTCCTGCTTGAAGCAGCCACTAATATTGCCGAAGACTATCTCTGCGGAGAAATCACTGATTAAGGAGCCATTGCCCTTTAAGAAGAAGCCTACTACTGAGAAGGAGTCCTTTTCCCAGGAACCATCTGCATTGCAAGAGAAGCACACCACTCAGGGGGATGTATCCATCTTAAATGAGCCCTTGTCCTTGCTGAAGTCTCCAACTGAGGAGTCACTTTGTGATGAGGCTTTGGCTTTTAAAAAGTGTACCATTGAGAACGCAGTTCCCACCAAGAAGCCTTTAGTTTTAAAGAGGAAGCACACCACTCAGGGGACAGTGTCCCAGTTGAAGAAACCACTAGTATTACAGACCACCTCTGGAGAGAAATCACTTACTGAGGAGCCATTGTCCTTTAAAGAAGAAAAAGTGCCTTTAAAGAAAAAGTGCACCACTCAAGCAATGATGTCTGTCTGGCCAGAACTGTTGGACTTTCAGGATATGATTGGTGACGATAAGAGTTCTTTCTTTATGGAGCCAGTGTCATTTAGGAAGAACCGTACGACTGAAGAGACAGTACTTACCAAGACATCATTGTCGTTAGAGAAAAAGAACATCACTCAGGATAAGATGTCGCTGTTAGAGAAGCCACTGGTCTTGCAGAAGATCACTTCTGAGGAGGAAACACTCTATAAGAAGTTGTTGCCCTTTAAGATGAAATCTACAACTGAAGAACAGTTTCTCTTCCAGGAACCATCTGCATTGAAAGAGAAGCACACAACCTTGCAGGAGGTGCCCTTCTCAAGAGAGTCATTGCGCATCCAGGAGACGACTACCACTGAGGAGAAATCCTCTCAGGAACTATTTTCATCACATGCTAAGCATACCAACAAAAGTGGGTCCCTCTTCCAGGAGGCTTTGGTCTTGCAAGAGAAGGCTGTTACCAAAGAGGATTCCTTGAAGAAGCTATTGGCCTTGCAGGAGAAAAGCTCCGTAGAAGAAGATGAGTTTGTTATCAATAAGCCATTGGTTCTGAAGAAGGAGCGTTCTGCTGAGGCAGCCACAAACATAGATACACAATTATCTTTAAAGGAGCAGTCCACTGCTCAGGGAGAAGTGTTTCTCTTGAAGAAGCAGTTGGCTTTGAATGAGAACCTCAGTGAAGAAGAGTTCCTTATTAAGCTGCCACCGGCCCTGGAGGGGTATCCCAGCATTGAGGAGGGGGAGGCCATCTTCAAGAAACTTTTGGCCATGGAAGAGAAGCCTAGCATTGAGAAGGAGGCTGTCCGCAAGGAGCCCACTATTGACACAGAAGCTCACTTTAAGGAAACTTTGACCTTGCAGGAGAAGCCCAGCATTGAGCAGCAGGCCTTCTTTAAGCAACAGTTGGCTTTGTGTGAGAAGCCCAGCACTGAGAAGGAGGCCATCTTCAAGGAGTCCTTGGTTTTGCAGGAGAAGTCCATCATTGAGAAAGAGACCCTCTTCAAAGAGCCATTACCCTTGCAGATGTCTACCATGAATGAGGCATCCCTCTTCAAAGATACGAAAATTCTGAATGAGAAACCCACCACTGGGAAGGAATTGTCTTTCAAGGAGCTACTGACCTCACAAGAGAGTACCACCTGCAAGAAAGACATCTTTCTCAAAACATTATTGATCCCCCAAGTTGGAACCAGCTCATATGAGTCTAACACCATTCATGAATCCATAACAGGCAATTCCCGCATTGTTACCATCACCAGCGTAGGCAAGTCCAGTACCACCACCAAGTCCAGTGCATGTGCTTCTGATGAACCTTTCGCACCACAGGCCAAACGAACACCAAAGGAGGTATTCATCTCTCTTTCTTCTTAAATTAGGTAAAGTGTTCTTTGATATCCTGTTGGTGGCTGCTAGCAAAGTGTTGTGTGTGTGTGTGTGTGTGTGTGTGTGTGTGTGTGTGTGTGTGTCTTCCTAAGCAATTGAGCCATGTATAGTAAGTTATTGGGGGTATCCCTCTACCTAGTGGGAGGGTGATATTTGTTGGATTTACTTCTGGTTTTATTTAATGATAGGTGATGCAGAATCATCTCCTCTTACCTTTTATATCCTGAGGTTACTCAGGATATGGGATATATTTCCCAGGTTCTTTGGCATTTTTCTCTTAAATCAAGTTGGCCTTGTAGAATCTCTTGTCTTCCTGATTGGCACAGTGAATAGATCTAAGCAATAAGAAAGTATTTATTCCAATAATACTCACAAGTGTCTGGACTATTGTGCTATACACTTGGGCTTTGCAATAACAGTCAGGTAATTTCATTCAGGAAATTGCCTTTCTTAGTAATTGCAATTTGCATCACAGTGGGCTTCAGTCAAAAATGGGCGAAGTTCATAGGAGCATCTCCCAAGGAAGGTAGTCTTTACATTGTAAATTTGAATAATGAAGGGATGATATTTAGCAAGCTGGAGGAGAAATGTCCTTCTTGTAGGCAAAACAACCTGGGCGAAGGTGTAGAAGGGAGGAAAAGACTACCAAGATGAATTGGGCCAGATCAAAGCATTGATATAATTAGGTACCTAAGAAGACAGGTAACAAAGTTGAAATAATAAAACAAGAATGTCTGTTTTGGAGAATCTTGAGCTTACCTGTAAAAAGGGTCCCTTGTTCCTAGGGCAGTGAGAGTGTATACAAGGAAGACTAAGCATTTCTTGACTGGGCCATATGAGGATTTCAGGGCCAAGGAATACTGTGTTATGGCCCAGCATATGCAAGGCTTGAGACACTTTTGCAGAAGAAGACAGTGGGGAGAAGGGAGTAATCCTTCATAAGTATGTGCTAAGTCTTCTTTGGAATAATTTTCCTCATAATATATCTTTTTGGTGATGTCTAAGCAGATAACCCCACAGGAAGATACTGACGAGGACAACAGTGATGCAAGTTTCAACCCAGTGTATGTCGAGGAAATCTTCAGTTACCTGAAGGAGAGAGAGGTGTGTAGGTTGCTTGGGTTGGGGAGTGGACAACGATTTCTAGTTTTCATTTCCTCATCTTTCCATCCTTCAGTATGTAAGTTGAAAGGGGTGTGATAATGATGATAAAAATAATAATGGCAACAACGAACATATTGGTAGCTTACTATAAGTTGCACATTGTACTAACAGATTTGTAGGCATTATCTTAATTCTCTCAGTAACTTCATGATGGTAGATATTACAGATAGAGGAGACTGCCGAGAGTCATTTAAGTGGTATATGGTAAAGCTGGGATATGGGCTAAAGTCTGATTACCTTGAAGACCATAATCCTGCACATCTAATTGCTAAGAAGACAGTCTTAGACATAAAAATGGTCAAATAGTCTCTGAGTGACTGTTCTTAGAGATATTTTTCCTTTCCTTCCCTATGTATGTTTCTGGCATTGTATGCAAAATTATGTCTTTGTTTCAGCTCTCCAACCTGGTGAAGTTTTCTTTCTCTTTTGAAATCTGCCAGTCTCCTTTACCACTAATATTCATCAATTCCAGTTTCTTCTCTCTCTCTCTCTCTAAACAGAATAGATGAGACCAAGATCAGCTACCAGGTAGAATTTTTAGCAGGTCATATGTAAGAGGGTGGGTAGATGGAAATCCACCTACAGATCCACCTATCCTCTTTATAGAGAGAGTGCAATTGATTAACTGACTCCAAAGCCCACACTTTTTCTGGCATACTCTAAGTAAGAGACACTTTTATTATATTAAAAGTGTGAGCCTTGGTTCAGCAGTATCAGTTTCACTTGAGATCTTGTTAGAAATGCAGAAACCTAGCCCCATCCCAGACCTTCTAAATCAGAATCTGAAGTTTTACATGATCCCCAAGTAGTGCATATGTGTTAAAGTTTGAGAAGCAGTGCTCTACATAGTGTGGTATTGTGCTTTAGATTGAATTCCAAAGAAGGGGCAGAAACTTTATGGCATTGGTCTACAGCTATAGGTGTGTTTCCACCCTTATTCTCCCTGGACTGCTCAATATCCACTCTGATACTTGAATATCACATGTGTCTATTTCCCAAAGGAAAACTGCAACTTGCCTGGAAAAGGATACTTTGATCTGCTCCTATCTAAACCAGTTGAAAATGAGGAATTAGAATGATGAGGGAGAAGTTAATTGTTAAGTTACAATTTTGAACTACAAGAAGAGTTTATTAACATTTCTTTCTCATCGATTCCAGGAACAGTTTATAGTTACAGATTATATGAAGAGGCAGATTGAAATCACCGGTGAAATGAGGGCCATTCTTGTGGACTGGTTGGTAGAGGTGCAGGTAAGCCTGACAAATCCTGCCTTAAGGAGCAGCAATTCTCTTTCTCATTCAGGGCTGCCAAACCAAAAACATGGTAAAAATGTGCTGGGTCTACAGAGTTGAATATGCCATGGTTCCTGCCCTCAAGGAACTCATGATGTAGGAGGCAAGATAAGATATGCAGACAAATAAGTATAATACAATGTAGAATATACTAAGTGCTCTAAGAATGTTTCAGATAAAATACTGTGAGAACTAATTGGAAGGAGAGACTATTTCTACAAAAGGCAGTGATGGTATGGTTGTTTTATCATTCTTAAAGCCATGTAAAAATATATCTAGTGATTTGGATTGGGGTTGATGACAAAGTCTTTCAAGCTTTGGGTGGAATGGATGATAGGAAGGACAGTGTGGCACTGTCCTTCAGGTAGCTGTTTGTCCAAGGTTGGATATTGAGGGAATACTGCTATGAATATTTAATTATTATTTTACACTAAGGAAGGAGCGCCCAGAGCAGTACATAGCATATAGTAGGGGGTCAGTAAGTATTTGTTGAATGAATGGAATTGAATGAATCACTATGGAGTTTGCAAGGAAACATACAGCATGGTCAGTCTATGCCCAGCAGTCTTAGTATGTAATTGAGAAGAAAAGACAATATAGTTTTATATCCTTTATTAAGTACCAGAGGAGTGGTTCAGGCTCATTTTGGAGTGAAAGACCAAGGAATTGTAGTAGACACAATATATTTGGACATCAGCAAAACATGAAAATGGTAGAGAATAGTAAATCAGATAACAGTAAAATTTGGGTAGATCTTAAATGAAATAGAACCCAAAGATTGCTTATCATTGCCAAGTTGGAAAGAAATTTCTAGTGACTGCCATTGGACTTTGTTCTGCTTCACATTCTCATTGGTGATGTAAATGAGAACAGAGAAGATATAGTCATTAAATTCCTGGATGGCATGAAATTGGGAGTAGGGATAGGAAATAAATGGCTTACAGAGAAAAGGTATCTCTGCCAGTTGGAATGATGAGCTAAATATTTTTTATTTAAAGTTTTTGTTATTTTTATTGCATAAAAATGTATATTATAGCAAAGTAAGAAATTATAATTACCTGTGATTCCACAACCTCAAACCACTGCTCTTATTTGTTTGCCTATATTATCCCTCCATCTTTTTTTTTTTTTTTTTTTTTTTTTTTGAGATGGAGAATTTCGCTTGTTACCCAGGCTGGAGTGCAATGGCGTAGTCTTGGCTCACCACAACCTCTGCCTCCTGGGTTCAGGCAATTCTCCTGCCTCAGCCTCCTGAGTAGCTGGGATTACAGGCACACGCCACCATGCCCAGCTGATTTTTTGTATTTTTAGTAGAGACAGGGTTTCACCATGTTGACCAGGATGGTCTTGATCTCTTGACCTTGTGATCCACCTGCCTCAGCCTCCCAAAGTGCTGGGATTACAGGTTTGAGCCACCACACCCGGCCTATCCCTCCATCTTAAGCAGTGCTTATCCATTCAGGGTGCACCTCAGAATCAGATGCCCAGGTCCTATCCCAGACTTATCCAATCAGAATGGTAGTGATGTGGCCCAGGCACACATATTTTTTATAAGGCTCCACGAGTTATATTAATGTATACTCCTTGAAAGCGAATCTCAGTTCTAGAAAATATCATATTGTTTTTATAACTGTAGTTATATGTAGTGCTTTCATAATTATTTGGTTTTTAGATTTTAAAATAACCAAATAACAACAATGGCTTTTTGGATATGTAGTTCCACAAAATTTTAATATTTGTTTTGAAATAATTGATTCATAAGAAATGAAAAAAAAGACAAAGAGAGCCTGTGTACCCTTCACCCTAGTTTATCCCAACGATAACATCTGGCGTAACTGTAGTATAGTGTCACGGTTAGGAAATGAACGTTGTTATAATCCACAGACCTTGTTTAGATTTCAGCAATTTTACATGCACTTATTTGGGGGTGTGCAGAGTCTATTTGCTAACATGTGTAAATAGATGTTTAGTCTATTTGTTCACGTGTAAATTTTGTGATCACTACCATGGTTAAGGTACAGAACTGTTCCATTGCCGCAAGGATCCCTCATGCCACTTTTAGCCACAACCATTTCACTCCTCTCTCCTTCCTGTCCCTGACAAATTATTTGCTTTCCATCTCTATAATTTCATTATGTCATAAATGTTATATTAATGGAATCATGCAGTGTATAGCCTTTTGAGCTTGATGTTTACTGCTCACCATAATTCCCTTGAGATCCATCCAAGTTGTATGTATGAATAGTTCATTCCTTTTTGTTGCTAAGTAGTATTCCATGGTATGGATGTACCATGGTAATATGGTTTGGCTGTGTCCCCACCCAAATCTCATCTTGAATTATACCTCCCATAATACCCATGTGTTGTGGGAGGGACCCAGTGGGAGGTAAGTGCATCATGGGGGTAGGCTTTTCCCATGCTGTTCTCGTGATAGTGGATATGTCTCATGAGATCCAATGGTTTTGTAAAAGGCAGTTCTTCTGCACACACTTTCTTGCCTGCTGCCATGTAAGATGTGCCTTTGCTCCTCCTTCACCTTTCACCATGATTGTGAGGCCTCCACTGCCATGTGGAACTGTGAGTCCATTAAACCTCTTTTTCTTTATAAATTACCCAGTCTTGGGTATTTCTTCACAGAAGTATGAAAATGGGCTAATACGTATGGTATATATATATATATATATTTTTTTTTAAAGACGGAGATTCGCTCTTGTTGCCCAGGTTGGAGTGCAATGGCGCGATCTCGGCTCACTGCAACCTCCGCCTCCTGGGCTCAGGCAATTCTCCTGCCTCAGCCTCCTAAGTAGCTGGGATTACAGGCACGCGCCACCATGCCCAGCTAGTTTTTTGTATTTTTAGTAGAGACGGGGTTTCACCATGTTGACCGGGATGGTCTCGATCTCTCGACCTCGTGATCCACCCGCCTCGGCCTCCCAAAGTGCTGGGATTACAGGCTTGAGCCACCGCGCCCGGCACGTATGGTATATTTAACTGTTCACCTATTGAAGGACATTTGGGTTGTACTGGTTTTTGGCCATTAAGGATAAAATTACTATGAATATTTGCATACAGGTTTTTTTTGTGAATATAGTTTTTATTTCTCTGGGATAAATACTGAAGAATGTGACAGTTCTATGAATTTTTAACACATGTATAGATTTGTTTAACTGCCACTATGATTAGGAAATAGAACAGTTTGACCACTCTGTAAAAACTTCTGTATGTTATCCCTTTAGAGTTACACCCACCTCCTACCCCTAACTTCTGGAAACCACTGATCTATCCTCTATCTCTTTGTCCTTTCAAGAATACTGTATAAATGATTTGTTGTGTGTAACCTTATGAGAATGGCTTCTTTCATTCAGCATGATGCCTTCAAGATATATTCAAGTTGCTTCAGATAGCACTAGTTCATTCTTTTTATTGCTGAGTGGTATTCTATGGTTTGGATATATCACAGTTTACCCATTCTCCTATGGAAGGATATTTAGTTTGTTTCCAGTTTTTGAAAAGAACTGTACATTAATATACAGGTTTTTATGTGAATATATGTTTTAATTTCTAATGTCAGCACACAGGAGTGGGATTGTTGGGACATATGGTAAGTGTACCTTTAACTTAATTAGAAATTGCCACAGAGTGGCTATACATCTTGCATTCTCACTCCAATGCATGAAGGTTCTGGTTGCTCTGCATTCTTGTCAGCACTTGGTTTTGTTAGTACTTTATTTTAGCCGTCTAATAGGTGTATAGAGGAATCTCCTCATAGTTTTAATTTTTATTTCCTTAAGGGCTAATAATGTTGACAACCATACTTGTCATGCATATATCTTCTTCGATGAAATCTCTATTCAAGTCTTTTGCCCAGTTATAAATAGGGTGGTTCATTTTCTTCGTATCAAGTTATGAGAGTTCTTTACACATTCTGGATACAAATCCTTTGTGGAATATGTCATTTATAAGCATATCCTCTCAGTCTGTAGTTTTCTTCCTCTTACCATTGTCTTTCCCAGAGCAAAAGTTTTTAATTTTCATAAAGTCTGGTCTATCAATGCTTTCTTTTTTTTTTTTTTTGAGACGGAGTTTCGCTCTTGTTACCCAGGCTGGAGTGCAATGGCACGATCTTGGCTCACTGCAACCTCCGCCTCCTGGGTTCAGGCAATTCTCCTGCCTCAGCCTCCTGAGTAGCTGGGATTACAGGCTCGCACCACCATGCCCAGCTAATTTTTTGTATTTTTAGTAGAGACGGGGTTTCACCATGTTGACCAGGATGGTCTCGATCTCTTGACCTCGTGATCCACCCGCCTCGGCCTCCCAAAGTGCTGGGATTACAAGCTTGAGCCACCGCGCCTGGCCTCAATGCTTTCTTTATGGATTGTACTTACTTTTTTTTTTTTGAGACAGAGTCTCACTCTTTGCCCAAGCTGGATTACAGTGGCACGATCTCAGCTCACTGCAGCCTCCCAACCTCTGCCTCCCAGGTTCAAGCAATTCTCCTTGCCTTGGCCTCCCGAGTAGCTGGGAATACAGACAGTCACCACCACGCCTGGCTAATTTTTATATTTTTAGTAGAGATGGGGTTTCACCCTCTTGGTCAGGTTGGTCTTGAACCCCTGATCTCGTGATCCACCCACCTTGGCCTCCCAAAGTGCTGGGATTACAGGCATGAGTCACCACACCCAGCCAATTGTACTTACTTCTAAGAACTCTTTGCCTAAACCTAGGTCAGGAACAGTCTCTCTCTCTCTCTCTCTCTCTCTCTCTCTCTCTCTCCACCTTGTGTGTGTGTGTGTGTGTGTGTGTGTGTGTGTGTACAATATAATTTTTTTTTTGAGACAAAGTTTTTCCCTTGTTGCCCAGGCTGGAGTGAAATGGCGTGGTCTTGCCTCACTGCAACCTCTGCGTCCTGGGTTCAAGTGATCCTACTGCCTCAGCCTTCCAAGTAGCTGGGATTACAG